GATAAGACCACACAGCAAGGTCACTGTCAGGGGGCTATCTCATTAACTCAGCTCTCAACTAACATAAGAAAAAGAGGATCATGGGGGACATAGGAACCGATTGGGGAACTTTTCTATATAGAGAGAGCAAGTAGCTACAAGTAGGACAGTGGGGCTTTAAACGAAGTTTCTATTTATGTGTACGCCCCTTTCACCCTACGATTATTCTTTATACGACGTCACTTTTAAATACACGAGTACGAGTTTCGTATAAATTTCCTCTTGTCTGAACAGGCTATTTGATTATTTGGGTCTCACAGCAACACGCGCGCGGCCCCTTCCTCACTGAAGAAGTTCTAATTTTAAGAGGTAGCATCATGATGCGTCACCCCTAAGTCAAGGTTAAAACGCGAATGCCTCATACCCCGACAAAGTAATCACAATTGGATTTTCCATAATGGCAATAATACTCATACATCTCATTTCTCATTTCAGCATTATCATAGCGCCGTTTCTTAAAACCTTATATATATGTTTTTCCCTTTGATTTACATATGAGTTTATGGGGAGCCTGTACAAATGTTGGTATCAATCTATGATTGGACTCGTCGTCTCATGTCTTGAAAGTTTAACAAATGATAAGCTCTTCTCCTGGACGTTATTATTAGAGCCTGACATTAGATCTGTTGATTCACATTCTGTAACGGTTAACTCCATAATATGGCCCAGCTTGTTTTCAATTCATTTCCTTAAAGGTACTGTGTCCCTTTGGCAGCCAACATCAAATTATGTAGAACTTGTCAGGAATAATGAATATATCACGTTTGTCCTATATGTGAAATGTAAACATAAACAGTGTCTTAGTATTCAAATTATGCCATGAAACCTGTTTACCTTCTAGACCTCACTGTCAGACACTACTGAGTGACAGACTGACATCTTTGTTTCCTTGGTAATAACATACATGAAATAAGTTGTAAACATACATGAGCATTTGTCTACATCAATAACCTACTACGTGCAGCACAAAACGTACGACCGATCGGTAAAATGGGCTGAAAATCAGACTATTACTTAGGTGATTGCATTCACTTTAAATAAGTCGATTCGACAACTAATGGTCGTTATTTTCCCACTAAAATCCATGTTCAAGCCCTTTCGTTTTGAGGGAAGATCTAAATTGTTAATGTCTTTCAAATGCTGTTGGAATTTAACCTTTTCATTTTGGGGGGCATGCAAATATAGTTCCGTTAATAGAGGGTGCGTCACACCAAAGAACTAATACAAATTGTGTTTTTGTTTAGGAATATTCTCCAGGCAAAGATGTTCATATATCAAATAGTCTTTTTCTGACTAACCTATTCAATATTAGTATAGTATTAATGACTGCTTTGAGAGAAATAGTTGTTTTATTACGCTCAAGGGAAGGTTAGAATTGTGCTATTCCCGAGGCTTGCCGAGGGGAATAGCCCAGTTGTAACCTTCCCGAGAGCGTATGAAAACAACTATTTCTCGAATATTAAAGCAGTCATTAATACTTTTATATGCCGAAAAAAAATAGACTAAAAAATAAAAAATAAAAAATAATTTACATTTCTGTCGAAGACGGGATTCGAACTCTTGTGTACAACAAGAGGTGTATCGAAAACCAACGCTTAGACCACTCGGCTATCGCGAGCCATTAACATGCTTTGCAGTTTTCTCCAATATATACATTAAAATGGATTGAAAACGGCTCCGCGTGAGGGATGCTTCGCAAAAGCTCCATGAAACGGACCCTTCTTTAACTTTTGCAATGCATATTGGCACGAACTTAGATCAAGATCTATCGGCAGATGTTGTTTTTTTGTTTTTGAGAGTTAATTTTCGTCTTCTCGGTAAGATCGATCGAGATTCAATTGTATTGAAATTGCCGACCAATTTTTCGCACACGTATGGTATCCTCCATCGCTCAAACCATTTTTTAACATGTAAACCTATGGGGTAACCATGGAGACTGACCTATTTTTTTAATAACCATGGTTATTAAAAATATTGAAATGTTTTAAGCATGGTTACCGGGAATTTTACAGGAACAGTTGAAGTTTATGAATGCAATTCGACCAATCAGATGGCTGGATTTCTTAAGTGAGGTATATAATCTATTCTATTGAACGACGCAAGAGGAACCCATAAATAGCTTAAAACTTAAAGAGGACCTTTTTACTGCGCATATAAATTGATATGCGCAGAGAATTTTTTTTTTTTTTTTTTTTTTATTATTATGGTTCAAAGTGAATATCACGCATCAATGTCATTTAATTTTACCTAAACTAAAATAACCTTGGAATGATTAAATGCTGATACTCTGCAAATCTTGTTTTATATTGTTATCACAGCTCATAAAACCAAGCTTTCATACAACAACATAAATGATTTCATTGTGAGTTACCAGTACCCTACACGGTTATCATTACTTGCACGAGCAGTTGAAAACTTTTTTTAAATAATTTTTTTAAAAGCATGCACGGCTCTTTATCTTGCCATGAATATAGAGGAAGAGTATTTTCTAGAAAGAAAAAAATATGTAGCCGTGGAAGAATGCTTTCTTGATTTCCTTATATTATATATTTATTATTCTTGTTTACAACATTTTGAAGTGCAGAGTACCTAAAAAATGTAACGAACTTTACCTGAAAAAGAGGAAATTTGTGATGTGCAGATCCAGGTCATGTTTCAGTATTTCCATCTTCTTATTACTGATAATGAGAACCAGTCGGAACTCATTGGCATATTGAAAACAGCTCTTGACTCTCATATGAGAAGTTATTGCATGGTGTTTACACCCTCAGACGTATGTACATCTTGGTACATATCCTCCATTTAAAACGTATATACTGAGCTCTTATGCACCTTAGATGCCTAAATCTAGAAAGCTATTATTTAATAATATACCACGCACAAGCACAAGCGTTAATCCCTTTTTGTTAATTAAAATAGTCTTGAGTACTAATCATATATATAGTTATGATTATCATCAATTAGTCTCTGAGTAGATGGTGCAAATTAAAATCAGACTTTTCAAGAAATACATATGTCAGAGTATATAATAAATGAATATACCTATACAGTCAACAACTAAATCATTCGTACCTCCATTCAAAATGTTTATACCGAGCTCTTATACACCCTAAATGCCTAAATCTTGAATAGCTTATTTTTAGGAATATACCACGCTCAAGCACAAGCGTTAATCCTTTTCGGTTAATTGAAATAATCTTGAGTACTAATCATATATATAATTATGCTTACATTCAATTAGTCTCTGAGTAGATTGTGCATATTAAAATCAAGAAATACATATGTCAGAGTATATAATATATGAATATACCTATACAGTCAACAACTAAATCATCGTACCTCCATTCAAAACGTATATACTGAGCTCTTATGCACCCTAAATGCCTAAATCTAGAATGCTTATTTTTAATATTATACCACGCACAAGCACAAGCGTTAATCTTTTTTAGTTAATTAAAATAATATTGAGTACTAATCATATATATATATATATATATATATATATAATTATGCTTACCTTCAATTAGTCTCTGAGTAGATTGTGCATATTAAAATCAAGAAATACATATGTCAGAGTATATAATATATGAATATACCTATACAGTCAACAACTAAATCATCGTACCTCCATTCAAAACGTATATACTGAGCTCTTATGCACCCTAAATGCCTAAATCTAGAATGCTAATTTTTAATATTATACCACGCACAAGCACAAGCGTTAATCTTTTTTAGTTAATTAAAATAATATTGAGTACTAATCATATATATATAATTATTCTTACATTCAATTAGTCTCTGAGTAGATGGTGCATATTAAAATCAGGCTTTTCAAGAAATACATATGTCAGAGTATATAATATATGAATATACCCATACAGTCCACAACTAAATCATTCGTACCCTTACTAAGTTTTGTATTTTGTTAAGTATGTGAAAAATTGATTCGTCCCGGTGTATGTTTCTTGATAATGTGACATATTAAAGCTTACATCTGAAACCATTCGACAAAGACTGTCATTCAACCAGTCCACCTTTCATTCTTCAGTTAAGAAAAAAGGAGGAGGGGACCCGTCAAATTTGCAAGGGGTTTGAATAAATTGTCAACTGTATGACAGGAGTTTAAACAGCAATATGAACTTTGATTGAAGCTACGCTACCGTTATGCTCTCATTTCCCCCAACATTGTGTATATATATTTATATATTCATGTATATACAGATGTATATAATTATATAGATAGATAGATATGTGTGTATCGGTCAAACTCAATGCATTAGCTTTTAGATGTAATGTTAAATACCAGTGAAATATTATGAAATAACATTGAATCATGAATATACATATAAAATACAAATCATTATGATTACTTTTAAACAAAACATCAAGATGTTTTTGATGGTTACAGTATAAATAGAAGGAACACAAAGTATACCTTACCTATGACGGTTATGCTATGTGATTGATTGTGTACATCTAACCAAAGTTCCATCTTTTCTCACCATTTCAAAAAGCATTTGTACATGTAGAGCTGCTGTATCAGGGTGGCTGTATATACAAGTTTCATCATAGAGTATACTACCTATATTTCTTTTTGTTTATTGTTCACAATCTTTAACGACAAGACGTATCTACAGTAAATGGGAAACTAAGTCTAAAGTACTACCTTTTTTAAATAATCTTTCACAATCTTTAACGAAAGGACGTTTCTACAGAAAATCCTGAATATATGTCCTATTAAACGCGTTTATACTGAGCTCGAATGCAACCTTTAATACATAAATCTAGATATACATTTTTTTATATAAGCAAACGTGGAATTAAAAAAAACAACACTATCATTTATATTAAATTAAAATAATCTAGCGTAATAATCACACATTGCTCCATATTATATTATTTTCTAAGAAAATTGCAGAAATGCAGAATTTCGTACAAAGTAAATAAAAACATAGTAAATATTGATTTAATATATTCAAATTGAACATTAAGAAATGCATCAAATTAGAGATATGATGCATCGAACTGAAGTTAAATCTTGCAGGTTCAAATAATTAAACATAAAAGTAAATTGCAAAGCAACTGGAAAATATAAAGAACGATTAACATGGTCAAAGAATTACGTTGTTCTTCAAAATGTATATATATTTTCAGACCAGAGAAAGATAACTAAAAGAGAGAGAAAAGGGAGGTAAAACATAAAAGGCAGACGGGTAGAGAGGTAGGAAGAGTGATAAGAGTAGAGAGATGGAAAGGGGAGAGCTAGAGAAGTACTACTAGATTTTGTATTCTTCTTCTTCTTAGATCTTAATATCTTCATAAACATCTCCATTGTCAGCATGTCGTGGCGTTTCGTATGTTTCACCCTGATCTCGTGAAGATCTCTCTGGTAGCTTGGGAGGGACAACGTTAAGTTCCAAGCAACCTTCCTCACCATGTTGTGGTCCGTTGTAACAGTTTTGTTTCGCTGTCCCTTGCTGCTGACTACTAGCCTGATTCGCTGATCTCCTGTAGTTGTAGAGAACCCAATTAAACATGACAGTAAAAATATAAATTATTTCCTCAAGGCAATTAACAGAGACAAGAAGATGAAAGTAAAAGAGAGTTAGCATTTTCTCTAGTTACCTATATATTAATATGATAAAATATAAAGTTAATGACATTGAAATTGTGGAAGAAACTGTCTGGCAGCAATTTAAATAAGGCCTTAAAAAAAACGTTGTATTGCCCTTTTCGACCGACCCCAAAACTTTTTATTCATGACAATTCTTTACTTCTCTTATGTCTTTGCTTAGAGAAAAGTCTTAGCAAAAATGCGTATTCTATTAAAGCATTGGGGGCTAAGTAATTTCCCCTAGGAGGTAGTTGATATTTTCAGATTTTATCTAATTAAGAGAAAGTGCTTAACTAGCTTGTCGTTTTCTTGTACAAATGAGATACCTCAGATACGTAAGAATTCTACCCTACATGTAAGGATACTTCTGAGGCTGTTTGGATAGGGACTATTTCGGGAGTGCCACGCAGTGTCGCTTCGGGTTTCGATCAAATGGAATAAAAATAAAACGTACAAAATGCAGCTCAGGTTATCAGTTTGCATGCATGTAATGCAAATAGCGCTATGATAGCTAATCTAGGCATAGCCTGAATATAGCCTTCAGGACTATACTTCTAAATTTTGAACATAATGTCGCAAAGAAATTATCTCATGGTCCTTGGAATGCAAATGTGTAAACAGGGAATGATGTGTTATCGGCATAATATTCGATGAGACAAATCTTGTGCATTATTATGAGTCTGAAAAAGGTTAGATTTAGCAATTTGATTCAGTTTAGGTTAGCAGGAGATGATGTAAACGGTAGCGTAAATAACAAGAACTGGCCGGCCGTTTCAAGATCTACCTTCATGGACTTTAACCGCAGCATAATATAGCCATGTGGGGCTTTCCGAAGTCGTTTGATAGAAAAGTATTGGTAGTCTAGAGTTGATGTTGGATCTAGATCATGGAGTTTTTTACTAATAAATCTTTGAAGTTTATTGAATACGGGCAGAGACTTTTATGCCATTTCTCGTACTGTTTCGAAAATAAGAGTTATTGAAGGGCAATCCCTTTCAGGTGACATACATCCTGTGATATTCTTCCAAACTGACATCAAAAGAACGGCCAAATCTCACAAATTGTTGTTTCCAATTTCCAGAACTCAACCTTCTCTTTCAGTCCCAAAAAAGAAGCTAAATGCAATATCAATGTAACGTGCTTTGCTGTGAGGCATACCTGTACTTCCGCACCATTAATGTCATGACGATACAACCCAAAAGGATACCAATAACTGCAACGGAGAGGAATCCAATTAAACCTGGGTAAGAAATAATATTGGAATCTTAAAAAAAGACATGCAGCCGCAAACATAAAATCAAATAGCATATCAATGTGTAATGTGTACCGTATAAAAGGAAGGTTCGTGACTAAGATTAGGACCGTTTGGAAACCGTACGAAATCCCAATTATGATAGACCGTATCAATGTGAACATTCACTGCTTCTGTCACTGACCGGCAACAATAATATACCAGACAAGATGGGAGAAAAGTTTATTAAATCACCTCGAGGAGAATTTCAATACCTATATAATATATAATATAATATAAAACTAATATCGACCTCGTAATATATTCAATACAAATTATGTTCTGATTACGCTATACGTGATTGTCAAGCACCACACTCATCACTAGGTAACGCACAAGGCTATTAAAGATTGCCTGGGGTGATCTATCGGGAGTATTTACGATCGTGTTACTGATTTATACATTATGACTCTCCTGTCTAAGAGACAATGGAAAAATAAAACACTTAAGCCTAGAAGAATGAAATAGAAAATGATCAAATCTATAAGGTAAACATTTTGAAGGCTAATAGTAACTTGCAACTTAACTTACCAAATGTGGCAGGCTGGGAGAGACCCATTTCACTGCCATTCGGTGCCATGGTTGTAGAGGATTCCTGTTCCACTTCTGTAAATTCAATGAATTAATATAAATTAGGCCTATCACATTTATATCACTAATTAATCACTATACAACTCTCTCCTATATCATTATCAAATGAATGGTGAAACGCGGTTACGTGTGCTTCGTTTGCCGCCGCGGCCGTGGGGTCTACAATATCTACGTCCAATAGCAGTTATAGGGCTGCCGCAGCATTCCCACAGTCACATTGTTCACAAACGGTTGCATTAACAAATGTTAGGGTAGTCTACAATATGGCCTATTTAATTTTGATCTCCACCACACCAACTTGTTACTTGCTGCCACCTAGTGGCGTACGCATGATTTTTTAAAGGGGGGAGGGTTTAAAATCGGGCCCAAAATTTCGCAACGACTCAGCCAGCCGCTAAATAAGCGGGGGGGGGGGGGAGGGGTGGGGGGTTAAGCGTACACTTTTCTTTTTTTTTGGAGTCCCAAAAAATCGCAACGACTCAGCCAGCCGCTGAATAAGCGGGGGGTTCCAAAAAAACATACATAAAACATATACATACAAAAAACTCAAAGGGGGTTTAACCACCCCCTCCCCCCCCCCCCCTCCTTCCCCTGCATACGCGCCTGCTGCCACCCAAAGATGGCGTGATCATTACATTAGGAGGCCCGGTGAAAAAATGCTAAGTGCTTAGGCTGGGCTGGGCTGGTGGCGTCTTATTTTTTCTTACCCTAGCGCTATAGCGAGCCCAGATTTAGCTCGCGAAGGAAACATGCGCATGCGCACTCCCAAAGGAAACCAGCGGTTGCGCACATGGAATCCGGTAGGGCTGTTAATAGGGTGATAGTAATTATAAAAATCAATTTTTTTTTTATCAGGACAGCGTATTATTAATAGAACCTTGGAGTTGTCTTGAAGATTTTTTTTCCCTTTATAAATAGTAAATGAAGCAGAAAATAATCATATTTTTTTGTTTGTGTGACCTCTTTGCAAGCTTTCGTAGCTTGGAACCTGGGAATAACAAAAATGTATAACTCCGCGCTATAATCCCACGGCGACCCCTACGGCCTGTGAAAAATAGAGATACTCCCTAGGGTGACCCTGTGGCCATAGCAGATCCTCTGCGGCCGTCGCAGGTGTCTTTCGATTTCGGGAGCCTACGGCCGCCGTGTCCTAACCGTAGAGCAAATGTGACTAGACTAACTTTGTTTTCATTAAAAAAAGCGTGCAATAGTTTCCATTACAACAGCCTATCGATTGATGAACAGGTGAACCGAACTTGAATTAAATTGAAGGTAAAAATCTGTATATTGTGGTGGCTTTTTTACGGCCATTTTCGCGAATTTTGCATCTAACATTGCATTTAAAGCGCGTGAAAACGTTTGCAAAATTATTTCCCCAGTTTAATGTGCATGTAGAGTCAATGGAGTGGGGATGAGATAACCAAACCAAAAGACGAAGTAGTTCAGTGGCGCCTTAGTGTCGCTAGAGTACACTAGGGCCCTGAATTAAAGGGAATCAAAACCTTCATATTAAATTACTTATATTTTACCTTACTTGCAATGCACAAGTTTTGTAGGTTTGCATTGCGAAACAGGTAGAAATATGCACAAATTTACGGAAGTATATTATAAGTAGTCCTTACAAGGACTTTTTTGTGGACTGAAAGAAAGGTCATAACGTTTTGAACAACATGCTCCCTTTCTTTCAAAACTCTTGCTGAAGATCCGAATATGTTTTTTGGAAGATACTATGTCCCTTTTTCAACCAACATTAAATTCTGTAGAACTTTGCAGGAATTATGATTATGTCATGTATGTCCTATCTGTGAAATTCAAACATTAGCAGTGTCCTTAGTATGCAAGGAGAACCGTTCACCTTCTAGACTTCACTGTCAAACACTATTGAGTGTCTGACTGACATCTGTTTTTCTTTGGTAATAACATACATAAAATATTGAAAATTGAAAGGGTACATGAGCATTTGTCTACATCAATAACCCACTATTTGTAATTGCCAAACTAAACTAATTGAATCTTTGTGCAGCACAAAACATACGATCATTCGGTTAAAGGATCTAAAAATCAGACTATTACCTAGGTGATCGCAACTTCTTGTGGCGTGTGCATGTAATCCAGCTAACAGTGGAAGTTACAAACTGATTCAGCCGAGGAGGCAGGTTCGAAACTGAGTCACGTCTTTCGGATGGTGACGTTGAAAGGTCGGTCTCCAGACGTAAAAAATCATATCTGATTGATACACGTCTGTAAAAACCCAATACACACACACACACACACAGACACACGCAATCGCTAAAGTCGATTCGACAACTCATGGTCGCTATTTCCCCACTAAAAGCCATTTCCAAGCCTATTCGTTTTGAGAGAAGTTCTAAATTAGTATTGTCTTTCAAATGTCATTGGAATTTAACCTTTTTGTTTGCCCTGCAAATTGGACATAGTACATTTAAGGACTATGTACACGGTGTTTCCATACGTGGAACTTTTATAAGCCTTCTATTCTAAATGCAATGCAGTATTGTATCTCTATATATTCTATAAACTAAACTGATTTAACTCCCTCGAAAATTAAACAATAATTTATTGTTATTAAAATATTGATGCTGTTGTTTGTTGTTTTGCTACGTGTTTAAACAACAATTACCATTTTCGATGCATAAGACACCAACATCCTCCGAGTGGTCGCAGTCATGGGTTTCGTAGTCACTTCTTCGACAATGGCCTATGTTTGGTTCTGTACCCTCGCATTCCACTTCATCCAGAACAATAGGTCCAGATCCTAGTCCAAAGGCAGCGCAACAGGAGAAGTTCTCCGCCCGTTCGTAGCCGAGCATTCTGCAAACCACGTTGGCATCATTTTGGCCCCAGTTGTCATCACACACTGTCCCCCAAGTACCAAGGTATAGAATCTCAACACGGCCTTCGTTTTCAGATCTTCCGCCGACCAAACGCACCCGGAGATCATCTGAAATCAAATGACAACAGTAGGGACGTTTAGATTTGCACGACAAGATCGTGGACCTCTACGTGTGACATCCTCTTCAGGCAATGTGACGTCTTAAAGGCACTGGCAGTGACCGGCAGATTGCCTTAAAAGGATGTCACACGTAGAGGTCCACGTTCTCGTCGTGTAAATCTAAAAGTCCCTAGTATCACGTTGCCGACGGAAGGTAGACTGGCGACGCTATTACTGCTATTAATATGGTCAATATTTCTTTAAAGAAGAAACCCAAAGAGACATTTTTAGGGGTAGATTCTTAACTCCTTACTTGCCAGATATTCTTACTAAAAGAACAGTTTCAACGTATTTTTCCATTTATTTTCTTATTTCTTTGATAATGATTTTTTTAATAAATATTATCTAACAGAAGTTTAGGGTTGTATAATGGGGATGGTAAGTGATCAGTAAATGTGGTATTCACAATTGAAAGTTAAAAGGGCTTACTGCTAATTGTTTCTCATTGTTTGCATGTCAAATAAAGTGTTCAAATGCGAGCCAAATTGCGTCTCAGGAGGGTCGATGGTAGATGGTAGATGAGAGGCAAATGAGGGATTTTAGGCATAGGGATTGCCAGTGTTGGTTGGTATACATTCTATTTGGAGGCTCCATGCTTCACTCAAACGCAAGTGGGAAAAGAATCAACTATTCGTACAAAAGCTTAATAAACAAACTTCCAAATTTAAGTTCTTTGAAGATTATTCAATATTATGAAGATGAGAGAAATATTTATTCTATAGCTGGTATGTAAAAAAATTATTTTTACTAAGTAACAGTCACTGTGTGAACAACAAGGAGAGAAACGTTAAAGTATTCTATTTCGTTTAAGCCTCGGTCACAAATGCCATTACGAACTGCTACGAACGCCGTACAAACGATTTTCAGACAACGGAAATTCGGGAAAACAATGGAAAAACAGGGAGATTCGTACGAATTTATCGTTCGTACAAACCTTTGTGACCGTAGCATAAAGTTAAAGAAAGACTTCGTTTCATTGCATTGTAAAATGTTTTGTTTGACTCGATAAAATAGCCTATGGAGGGCTAAAACGTTTTGGGTTTTTTTGGTTAAATTTGGGAAAACCGTGTACTGCCGGCAAATGCTCACAAAGCAGCGGATATCGCACAGTGAATATAGTGCCCTCATCGTTCAGTGCGTGGTATAAATGGGGAAATCTTGAACCTGCTGTTCTTAAATATTTTAAAAACTAATGGTTTATAATATTTGTTTGATATATTTGCAATGTGGAACGTTTCTTTACATGACCCATTCGTCATAGATTTTGAAGATAACTGACCCACAGTATTATTTTCCCCCAAAATCTAGGTTGACCGTAGGTTGACTTTGAAAGATTTTTCCCATGCATTTTGAACACAATGCCTCCACGCATTGATTTTTACTGAGAGTTACAAGCTGCTTTCAAAGTTGTGTCTGAATGTGCTTGGTCGAACGAGCACTCAGGACAGAGACTAGGATCCATCACTTGGAACCTTTGTGAGTCACAAAAGCTCCTAGTGACGGAGTGCTTAAATTGACTAGGACTTGCGCTGCACCGAAGCACATGCTTAAAACTCGACTTCCAATTATATTGAAGATCGTAAAGCTTTCTGGGCATAATATTAATGCTTGTATTTACGCATCGATCCCGCCATTAAGAGGTCAGATGAGATGGTGTGAACACCGGTCACTGGTGAGTTAAACGCCATGGTAAAGGGACGTTGTTGTACGTAGGGGAATGGGTCCTTTAATGCTTTTCTTCTTCTTTGTTTCTTTGTTTTTGTATTTTGCTGCCTTTCCCTACTCGACTGTCCCCCGCTCCGCTCTCGAGCATCTTTACCCTTTGTTAGCCATTCTACATCGGATTGGCACGTGATCCCTTGTTCTCTTTTAGCTACGCCACTAATAACAAGTGGGATGTCATGTGACATACCATGAGACATCCTCTCGAACTTCTTGACTTTTCAATATGGTTTAATTCTTACCCATTTTTAAGCATGAAACTCCGAGATCGGATGTATGTCCACAATAAGTGTGACCCAAATCAAAATAACGATCACACTCAAGAAGATTCGATTCTTTTCCAGAGCATCTCGGCCAACGTAGTATTACTTCCCCTGTCCCACGTCCGTATGCTGCGTTGGTTGAATATGCTATAGCCCCGACGAATCCTAACATTCTGCAGACCACTTCCGAGTCCAATGGGGTCCAGTTGGAACTACAGACGGTACCCCATGACCCGAAGTAGAATAATTCAACACGACCTTGGCTCTCATCCGGACCGTCTGCGAGGCGAACCTTGAGTTCAGCTACAAGTAGAAATTACAAAATGAATTTCAACTTGTGAAACAATATTATTATTATTAAAAAATAGAAAAATTAAATTAAACCAAGCCATGTTACAGATATGGCTTGAAACAATAGTTTGCCAAATTTTTCTTGTCTTCAAAATGGCAGATCGCACGCCCTACTAACATGGATCGGGTCTGTAGAATATATAGCAAAGTCTTCCACGCAGTCAGTCGGCGACGTGTAGGTCAGCATAAGTGTCTTCTTTCGTTTGAGTTGTATGCATAAACTGTGTAGTCTTTGCATATGGGCCAGAACACTTTTTTCTTTATTTCTGGCATTTTTGTTATAATAGCCTAGCTGCACTACATAAAATCTGTATCAAACCAACGAGATTTTACAAACTGGGAGTTTATTGTATAATTGGTGCAGTTGCCTTCTTTTGACAAGTGTTTTATCTGGGTTTTCTACAAGTAACTAACTGTTAACTGTTAACTAATTTGTTGATGTTTACGAAATTATCTGGGCTTTATAAAAGCATTGATTTTTCGTCAAATAATCCCCATTTGCGGCTGGCTATGCACGAAAACGGCCACTGAAAGAACATAAAGTGAGCCATAATATTTGGATGATGATATCAAGTAATAATAACCGTATCCGGACACCTACCCCCTGGACATCCACCCCCGGATAACCACCCCGGTCAACGTCCCCCTAGGACAACTACCCCCTAGGGCAACCACCTTCTAGGACGAGTACCCCATCCCCCACCCCCCCCCCCCCCCTCCCCCAGGACAACTACACCCGTTGTTGTTGGCGCTCAGTCAGATTTGACTATTTACGCCTAGTCTAGTCATTGAGCGAGCTTATCAATCCTGCGGATCTAGGCCACTCAGATACACAGTGTACTTCTAAGCATGACGTCACTTGAGTTTCCATGTTTTGGCCGATGTCGTTCTGTCAGGAACGGGCAAAGAAACTTTTAAAACATTTTTTTTTAAATAAAAAAAAAATAGAACAGAAGCATGCACTGGACATATCGACGGATAGACAGTGACTTTACATAATACGTTTGTAGTACACAAAAGCAAAAACAAAAACAACACACAAAAAGGGAGGGGAGATAGATAGATGGGGGGGGGGTTAAGGATATCGTATTTCTTTGTTTGTCGTACATATCTTAATATAGTTCGTTGATTCTTTGAAGAGAGAACATTTTTCAGGCTTAGTGGTATAATTCTTTGTCGTAGTTGTACTCTTTCTCTGTCGAACGACACCCGAGACAACTACCCCCTTATATAGTTCTACCGGGGGTAGTTGTCCTAGAGGATGGTTGTCGTAGTGGGTAGTTGTCTGGGGGTAGTTGACCGGGGGTAGTTGCCCGGGGGTATTCGTCCTAGAGAGTGGTTGCCCAAGGGGATACTTGTCTTAGGGGGTAGTTCACTGGGGTGGTTATCCGGGGGTGGATGTCCAGGGGATAGGTGTCCTAGAACCAATAATAACACGTAAAATAAAACCTTCTGAGAGGAACATGATTAATTTCGTGCTTTGAAGTACAATAACATGATTCATAAGTATATTTGTTTCAGGATAGGCCGCCTTTAATACAGGGAATATATACCTTTTCCGCTGCATATAACACCAACGTCTTCAGAATGCTCGCAGTTATGGATCTCGTAGCCGCCATGTGTGCATTGTGCGATGTGCGTTTCTGACCCGTAACATCCGACGTTGTCGAGGATGATATCACCTGTGGCTTCTCCGAAGCGCACCATTGCAGAAGAGACTCCAGTATAACCCAGCATTCGACAAACAACGGTAGCATCTTTGATATCCCAAGAGTCATTACAGATTGTACCCCATGATCCTTGGTAGTTCACCTCGACTCGCCCTTCATTGGCTGAAGCTCCGTCAACAAGACGCACGGGAACTGATACAAATGAAATAATGTTGTATATGTGGTCTGAATGTATGCCAGATTGAAAAGAAATTGGTTTAGAAATACACCAAATTAAAAAGAGAGATAAAATCTTGGCAGACTAGTACTTTTAAAGAAAGCAGAACATTAGAAAAACAAAGAGGGGAATATTCTAATGAAATCGGACAAACAAGCAAATTATATTTAGGTTCAAGTTCTGATCACGTATAGGCACTTCATATTAGTTGAATCGGTAATGTCACTGTGACGTAGTTTGGGACAACTTTCTATTAGTTTCCTCACACAAAAGGAAGACATTTAACGGAAGGGGTCATGTTCATGATGTTAACGAACCTTTTGAAAGTGTACATGTATATACCTGCTCTTTTCGAAAATTAGGGTACTCGTCTACTCGATAATCCCAAAATAAGGTGCGTATTCAGAAACCATACTGTACCTGTTCTCACACAAAAATTGGTCATATTTAGTGTATAATGTAGACATTTGCATCATATGTATCGACGATGTTCACCTTCGCTAACAAGTATTACACCTGCGTTTGACGTATTTGTTTTTGTTTCGTTTTTGTGTCCGTCATGTTTATTCGACTCCGTAATCTCCAAGATTCAGTTATTAATTGCTTCCAAATAAATTCGTTTTCCATATCTGTAACTAAATAATTTTGCATTACAAGCTATTAAAAAAATGTCAAAAATATTTCAATGCTAATTTTTCTGTTATATCATAACGTTTATTATTGTGATTATCTTGTCATTAAATACATTATGTGGAAAATAAAATAAATTCGGTCTGCATAGAGTGACTACTACTACTACTTATTTCGATGTCCATCCCTTCTTCACCATTATCCCGTCCCAGGCTGTCATGCTATCAAGCAAACACTTATTGTGATAGCCCTTCTTCTTCTGTATATATATAACTGACTTAGACCCCTGTTACAGTGAGCAAAAGGCCGGGCCAGGCCTTTTACTCACTGTAACAGGGGTCTAATAGACTGATAGTGTTTTACCAGTTACATTTTCCTTCAATGTCAACATTTCTAATACTATTATGTTGTGTACACGTTCAACAAAATTATTTAAGTTTGTACATGTTGTATCGTTAAAATGAAATTTGATTTGTACGTTTTGCAGAAGAAAATAAATTCAATTCAATTTATAAAAACAAAATCAAAATCAAAATTACCATGGTATAGCGTCCCCGATTTTGGCAACTCTCAAAAGGATACAATTTTATCTATGTATATATATTTTGTTCAAGTCAATATATTTACATGTTTAATACAGAAATTATGTTTGTCATTATTTTAAGGATCCGCATTTTACAAGCTCTGCTTTTCAGTGGATCCCTCCATTTCCACAGGTTTACTCCTTTTTTTTAACTTAAAAAAAAACAATATACTGGATATTTATGTATACATTCTATTTCACAACTTTAAACCATGTAAAATGTATTATATTATTGAATGTTGTATTGTATATCTTATTTCCTATCAAATGTACTGTTCTGTTGGAAATGGCAGATAAAGCTGAAAACTGAAACTGAAAAACAATTTAATGGGATCTATTTATTCGGTGGGGTTTAACACGTGAAGTCCATGAATTCAACTAGAATCAGTTTACTTGTAGGAATATAGGCCCTATTATCTAAATTGGAAATAAGGCGAGAACAGAGTTAGCTTTGGTTTTACACCGTCCTCCTGACAGTTGATACTTGAAGGGAGTGTCGGCGAGTTGCTGTCATGGAACTAATGTCCTTTGTAAGACTTTAATCTTCATTGATTTGCCGCACTCGACCCATGTGAAGTAAATGGGTATCTGACAGGAATTAATTCCTTTAAGTTCTTGTAATATTATTATCATTGTTATTCTTACGTTTAATGCACGTTACTCCTACGTCTTCACTGTGTCCACAGATGCGTGTTGCAAATGGATTCTGCATACAATGTCCAATCGTCACTTCGTCTCCCGTACATTGGAGATTATCCAGGAGAATGTCCCCAGTTCCTTGGCCGAATGCCGCACAGCACGAAAAGGATTCCGCGAAGGTATTACCTAGCATTCTACAAACTACATGCGCATCAGTCATACCAAAGCCATCGTCGCAAACGGTACCCCGTGATCCTTGATAGTAGACCTCGACCCGACCTTCTCTGCTGCTGCTCCCGTCTCTCAAATAGGCGTTAACTTTTAAAGGAAAAAGAAAAAGAAAAAGAAAAGCAATTCGAAAAGGAATAGGGGAGCATTGTAAAGCAATAAATGGGCTACCATTACCTATTTTTGTGAGATAATGTAAAACTGAGTATCAAATTTCAAAGAGCATACAATTCAAATGACAAATCGTCTTTGTTGGATCAAAATCGGTTCAGAGATAGTCTAGTTCTGGACCCTATATTGATTTTTGTTATTCGCCGACTATAAACGACTAAGGATCGCGCCATCACTCGGCTTAACGTTTATAGTCGGCGAATAACAAAAATCAATATAGAGTCCAAAACTAGACTAGTTCAGAGACGGCTGAAAGATCCATAAATATAACCATTTCTAATGTTTTGGGTCCCCTACAAGTTTTTGATAGTTTTGCAGCCAATGCCAATAATGGCATATTACGGTTGGCTTTTTCGTGTTGGTTGTAGTATGCACAACCAGCCGGCCCGTGTATTGTTATTATTAATTAATTAATTAACGGTCACCGTATTTTTTTTGAAGTGGAGCTAATTTGGTATGATCGGATTCAATCTAAATTTCACACATCTTGGGGTGTAAAATTACCTTCATAGCAATTTAAAGATCATAAATGGGCACTAGAAATGTCATAAATAAAAATAAGAGCAATAACATTGCACTTTGAAGGCATTTGCGGTCTTAACCAAGAACTCAACTGTCCCTTTAACCAAAGATTTGTTACTGGTTACGCGCATACCTCCGGTGTCTAAACATTTCCGTTTTTAACACGTGTCCACTAAACCATGATTGTTTTTATATTGCACAGTTATCAGTTGCACAGTTATGTTGCTACAGCCTACAAGGCTAATTCCATAGTACTGAACACAGCTCCAGAAGGATGTGCCTACATGTACTCTCTCGTTCCTTGTCTCCCTTCTTTCCTGTCCCTTTCACTTCTTGTTATGTTATGTCAATCTGGTTTATTTGTGCGTTTCCTAATTATTGATATACTATTTTTGCAACTATAAGTTATAGGGTAATGCAATCCACAATCACAGCTTTTCAACAGTCCCCTCCATGACCAACTTGTTTAATGTGTCTGTTGTACACTGCGGAACAATTAAAGTTATATTGTTAAGTTTAATTGTTTTACTATTAACAATGCAACCCTATGTATTTTAGTTTAGTTTGTTGGAAATGGAAATAAATCAAATGGTCTGAAATATATATTGCTAGAGCTATAGAGCGCCGTAATGGCAGCCATGCTAAAGCCAGGGTAATAACCTGGAGCGCCTAAAGTGTCAAGTCTGACAGATATGAGCGCTATACAAGAACCCAATATTATTATTATAATAACCTATTTTTGACCCTTTCTGATTTGAATTACATTTCACATTGTCTACACATCGACAGCGGTTAAAACTATTGCCGAAGGTGATCTCAAAAATAAACCGTGACTTGAGTCGCAGTAAGCAGTCTTATATACCACATCCCGCGTGACAATGCTGAATATATCAGAGTTGAGAATTCTCGCACTTTTATATATACATATATATATATATATATATATTGAATAAGGCAGACCAATGGAACATGGTTTGTACTACGAGTTTCATGCCTTGCGAGCGATCATCAGGCAACTGGTAGCATTCTTAAAAGTACACGATTAATACAATACAATGCTATAACATTTACTCATGGGTGAAGATGATATTGTAATTGCTCAGGTACTGCGATGGATTTCGAAACATGTAGGTTATGGGATGGGGTATCCCATAACAAAAGACTCTTGAACAAAAGACCAGAACTCATCTCCAATTGCTGCCATGTAAACAAATTGTACCTCTGCAACTTCAAAAGAGACTATACTTAAATAAATTAATAAATATTTATGTACTAGCACCTTGGTGGAGACTATTTTGCGATACCCTATCCATCACAGTGCCTGAGCAATTACAATAGCATCTTCACCCATGAGTAAATCGTATTGTATATATTGTATTGTATTAGTTAAGTCTTATTTTGGACGTATTTGCACCCAGGTTGTAGAGTAATCGTGATTGCCACCAGTTGCCTGATGATCGCTCGCAAGGCGTGAAACTTGGAGTAGCATCCATGTTCCATTAGTCTTCCTTATTCAATATATATATATATATATATATATATATATATATATATATATATATTGCTCTGCCTATAGGTATTGAGCACTGTACGGAAGGATAGAGCAAAGCTAAGTATATATATATATATATATATATATTAACAGCATATGCCTACCAACATGTATTTGCATGTGTATTTGTGACACTGTGCGCATACCCATTACTAGGGCGCTTTCGCGTAGACGACGGGAGAATTTACTCAACCGACATAGTCCTGTACTATATGCTCCCTTCTTCATTATGTAACCTGTATATAGAGCGCTTTCGCAAACACGACGGAAGGTTAAGACGAGGGTAACCGAGCTCAACAATCAATCTGCGCATGTGCGAACCAGAATTGTCTCCGTCTTGTTGATTTTCACGACCGTGTTCGGCCATACTAGTGTTCGTTCCCTAAACTCGACGGAAGAGCTGTATCGCCGTACATCGCCGTGTAGAGCTTTGCCCAGTAAATATGAAAGACACCTTAAGTTCATAGCAGGATGAAACGTCCCCTTAAGCCTATAGAAACAACTATGCCTCGCATAGCAGTCAATATATCTATATTATATACCTTACTGTAAGAATCTTTCCTAATCCTGTCATCTGACTGGATGAAGGTGAAGTCGTGTTTATTAACTATGCCGCAAAAATGCGGGAATAGTTAAATTTTGCTGCGATCCCCATTGGTTTCCGTGTTTAAAATATTACTTTGCGCGAGCTCGAGCGCGGATACCATAATCACAGTGTGATTTGATCGCTAAATGTTCCTGTTCTACTGGAGCACAGTTTGATGATAATTTGTGAATGTGAGGACCCCATGATTGGTATATAAGTGAGTCCCAAATTGTATTCTTTGACTCTTTTGCGGTCTACCAAAGATATATTTACTGCTTTAATATTCGAGGCATAGTTGTTTCGATAGGCTTTAGGGGACGTTACATCCTGCTATGACCCCTTGAGCCTAAAGAAATAACTGTTAATATCATATCAGTCAATATATCTATACTATTACTACCAAGCCTTCAATGGCGAATTCCTATCCTGTAGTTTTGACCAATCAGAGGCCTAAAATGTTTATGTGCGGTATATAGTATACAAATAATGAATGGCTATGAGTTCAATAGTGCGAATATTTGCATGAGTTGAATAGAATTAACCTTAATCTTTCAACGAATGAAAATATTCGCACTATTGAACGAATGAACGAATAAACATTCATTATTTGTTTTATACAACAATGAAGAAGCTCTAATAGAAGGTTAATCAACAAATTATGCTTACTCCTTATATTAAAGATAAATTAAAGTTGGAGTCAAGCTTCTCGATTACATTCATATTGCCTTCGCGTCAGATACACGCAGGGATACGCGCACGGCAGAGAGGTACGCAGTCTGCATATACCCAAAAATGCACGGCGAATAGTACCAAAAATGCACGCCCGTGCAAAAGAACATTGTGTGACCAACAATCCTCCAATCAAATGGCAAGGATCCACGTAGGTGTTGTATATAATGAATTATTTCATTCAGAGTAAGTACTACCCCCCCCCCCTAGAATTTAAAGACAAAATACAATTACCAATGCCGTCACACGTGACTCCTGCATCTTGACGATGCTCACAGTTGTGGGATAGGTAACCATTGTGTTGACAGAAGGCGATGTTTGACTCAGATCCCGTGCAATTCACATTATCCATGATAATTTCCCCTGTGCCTTCGCCAAAGGTTGCGTTGGTGTAATAAGCAGAAGCACGTGGATACCCCAATGTGTGACAAACGACGTGGGCGTCATCTAAATCCCAGTCATCGTCACACACTGTACCGTATACACCTTGGTAGCGAACCTGGACTGTACCTTCAAAGGATCCTCTCCCACCACGCAAATAGACCTGTAGAGGTTCTGTTAATATTAAACAATATTCATTAACATGTGTATCAAATGATTACCTCTTTAAATACCCCAATCAAACAAACGAGGGACCGAACAAGAAATTGCAACGCCACAAATGGCCAAGAATCGGTGGGTTTGATATCGTTTTGGCAGTGTGACTGGATAGTATCGATAAGGGTCACTGTCCAGCTTAACGTCGTATAGTCACTTAAGCATTATCAATCTAATACGTTAAAGGCAGTATATATTCGGAATTAAGAAGAATGATATTCATTAAAAAGTCAATGCATTTTGCATGACTTATCCTATAATTCGTTTAATTTGTTACCAGCATGCCCTTGTTTCACAGCATGCCTAGCGACACTAACGACAACACAGGTGTGCATCACGTACGCATTATCTAATCAGTCGTAGAGGCGTGTTTCTACATACAGCCTCTAACGTAACCATAACCCTAACCCTAGGAGCGCAGCAAGGAGCATCCGTGCATAATAGGCGTAGGCTTATTATCGTTACCCTTTGAATAATCTTTAAAAATATAGTTTTTTTTCCATGTCAAGCAATATTTATAGATTTTCTTAGCTTTCTTACTCAAAATTCAGATGTTTATTGATCCCAATTCCGTTAAAATTGGTTTCAAAATGAAGATGATTTAAATTTCTTTCATCATTATCACATTCATGGGGATTCAAACATTATTTACAAAATACTTTTTCACTCAAAAGGGCCGTTTTTGTTGTTGCGCCCCTCCGATTTAGGGGGTGACCGCTACAGAAAAATCTTTCGAAAAAACAAGGTGTGTTTAGTGTGTGTCCTAGTGGCAGGTAAACGCCTCTTTTTCTTACTTCCGCTCTCCGCTTACATCAATCAACCTGGTGTATTTTGTTGCCATTTACAAATGACTCATTGAGCATATACATGTGTAGCTCCGTTAAGTCTCATTTCACAACGCCCCCTATCGTCAGAGTCAGCAGCCATACATGTTAGCCTATGGAATTGTACACAAAAAAAATTGTTAAAAATTCATTTTTTGTTTAAACGAACAGCACATCCACCCCGACGTTCGTTATCACTAGCTCTTTCATTGGAACCCTCATGTCCCATTGACTTTTGAAAGTTTACCCACCGTAATTTGATCAAAATAGGTTGCAAGCTTGTCATTGCCTATAATACACATGTGAAACAAGTCGAACTTTGGACTCAGTTTGCCAAGCGATTTTAAGATTATAGGTCAACCACACGAAGGATAAGAAGCATGAATTATCATAGATCACTTCTGCTTGGTTCATTATGTCCATTTCATCCAACCCCCACCGTCATTTTTCCATTTAGTAAAGGCAAACATTTTGCCGAGGTAAGCAAAAACATGAATATTCATGAACGGTCAGACAATACAGCCTCTTAGTACGTAACGTATAGTGAATGGGAATGGGTGAGGATCCGTCCAGGAGGTAGAGTCAGTGGTTTGTGCTGGCCATGTTCCAGCGAGCGAAAATGGGACAAACAGAGCAATATGGGTGAATCAGCGGGTCGAGAAAATCTTTTGACTCGATCTATGTACTTTGCCCAGTTGAGCACAAACAGCTTTTGTGGAACATTCCGCATAGATGCTTAGACAAGGGCCATGTTCCAGTACAACAGTTATCAATAACTGTTACAAGCTACTGAAATCGTGGTATCTCATTGGCTGACAGCTAATTTGTCATAGGATTTTGGCATTTATTATTGATAACAAGTTTCATGAAATAGGGCCCTAATGTTGTTAGAATTAAGTTTTTGTAGACATTCGAACCAGGCGCGTACTAAGGGGGGGGGGGAGGGGGTCAATTCCCCCACCCCTTTAGATTTTTGTATGTGTGTATTTTTTATAAACCCCCCCCCCCCTCCCCCCTAAAAAATTATGCCAATGGCTGACCTAAAAAAAGTGACATTACCCCCCCCCCCCCCCGCTACGGAGCAAAATGTCAAATTATCAAATTTCGAGACACCCTCCCTCCCACCCCCCCCCAAAAAAAGTGTCCTCTTATCCCCCTCACCCCCCCCCCCCCGCTTATTCAGCGGCGAGCTGAGTCGTTGCGAAATTTTAAGCCCGATTTCAAAATGTTAAACCCCCCCCCCCCCCCCTTGAAAAAATCCTGCGTACGCCACTGATTCAAACAATAGGGACTTTCCGATTTGCGTGGACGGGGACGTGTGACTTCCTTTTAAGGCACTGGCAGTTGCAGTCAACGTTCTCGTCGTGCAAATCGAAAAGTCCCTAATACCAGTTCTGTATAGACTTTCAACAAGATCACATATGAGCTTGCATGCACAAACCGAGTAAGAGCCACGCCACATAGCATAACGTGTTTGGTTGCTCTAAAAGGCACACGAATTTAACAAACCCTCGAATAAATGGCTTGAAATCGTATTCACTGAGATTGAGACTGGAAAAAACAACGGCTTTATTCTCTTAGCTGTACTTTCTTTTCTTCAGTTTAAAAAATTATATATGTCGGGAGACCATGGTTTAGGTTAGACCTCCTTCGTGGATTCGGACCTCAGTGTATGTCATTGTGTGCTCTGATTTATGATATTACCAGAACTGTTTTTAATTAGTAATGCCTCTTTTCATAAGCATTGAAATTTGTGTAATAAAGAGAAGGGGAAAGAAGAAGGGTGGACAGAGAGAGACAAAGAGGAAATAAGGGCGGTGGAGAAATAAGAAATAGTCAGGCGGATGCCCGATCAAGGTGTGTACGTCTGATCCTTTTGAAAATGAAATGATCGAAAACTTTTTAGTCATGTACAACATGATGCAAAGGCATAGGCGCCGGAAGTGGGGGGGGGGGGCAGGGGGCCGTTGCAGTTGCCCCCCCCCCCCCCCCAAAAAAAAAAAAAAAAAAAAACTGCCCCCCCCCCTCTCCAAAAAAAAAACAGTAAAGGAGTAAACATGGTTTGTATTTTTAATCCAAAAGAACGTAACAATAATAAAAACCCGAATTAAATCACATATACAATTCCATTCAAAGAAAAAGGAAAGTTCACAGGGATTAAATTTCATAAACATTGCGCATGCCACCTATACGGTATTTATCAATGGAGGTCTCTATAATAGCGATACGCGCATATCGTGGACATATTGTGCAAGAATGGGAGAGCGTGTCCGTTTTTTTTTGTTATAGGGGTGAGAAAACATGAGGCCCTGAACGCTGGCGTACTGATGGGAGAGGGGTGATGTATTTCTTATTCGAAACAAGTGATATACAAATGTTGATGTTGTGACATGATTTTCCGGCATTTTTTCTCCATTTTTTTTGTAAGTCATAACTTTTTATGCGTTCATTGGAAAATAAGAAAGTCCCAAATTACAGTCAGGAGAAATACGCTTATTTAGAAACCTTTATGTCATGGTCTGCAAAGTGGCTTGGCTCGAGCCCCCCCCCCCCCCTCCTTTTTGAAAAGAGTATGTTAAAGAGAAAAAGAAAGAAAGGCGGAGAAAATATAAGTGACCTGCCAATGTCACAAATAAGGTATAAAAATGCTCATCTGACCGTAATTAAATGCTCAATACCCCAGAGCTTACGGGCGCTCCGCCCCCGACCCCACCAAGGGACCTAAGGCGGGCCCCTGGATGCTCATCTGACCGTAATAAAATACCTAAATCCCCGGAGCTTCCTGGGGCTCTGCCCCCTGGACCCCAACAAGGTCCCTAAGGCGGCCCCTTGATGCTCATCTGACCGTTATTAAATACCTTAAACCCCTGAGCTTCCGGGGGGCTTGCCCCCTGGACCCCACCAAGGGCCCTAAGGCGGGCCCCTGGATGCTAATCTGACCGTAATTAATTACCTAAAACCTCTGAGCTTCCGGGGGCTCTGCCCCCTGGACCCCACCAAGCGCCCTAAAGCGGGCCCCTGGCTGCTCATCTGACCGTAATTAAATACCTTAAACCCCTGAGCTTCCGGGGGCTCTGCCCCCTGGACCCCACCATGGGCCCTAAGGCGGCCCCTGGATGCTCATCTGACCGTAATTAAATACCTAAAACCCCTGAGCTTCCGGGGCTCTGCCCCCTGGACCCCACCAAGGGCCCTAAGGCGGGCCCCTGGATGCTCATCTGACCGTTATTAAATACCCCCAAACCCCTAAGCTTCCGGGGGCTCAGCCTCTTGACCCCTGCCGAGGCTCATGCCCTGGACCCCACGCCAATTTACGCTCTACCTGATCGATAATACTCCACTTTGAAAAACGTTCCGCGGGACCTGCATGTAACGTGTAAGACTGGTGGTGATGCAGATTTGTCGTCTGCCCCCCCCCCTTCCGAATGTTGTTCTCATTACGTTACTGCCCCTGGAATGTGAGCCCCCTGGGATTATGGATCAATGATAACTTGAATTGGAATACTCATGTGGAAAAGGTTTATGCAAAGGCTGAAAGTCGTTTGTTTCTCTTTGTCCAATTACGTTGATCCAGTCTTGTTCAAGACGATTTGTGTAGGTACTACAAAGCTTTCATAAGCTTGCAAATACAGACACCAGAACCCAAACTAAATGCCCTTCTCCCACCAAAACGAGAGACAAAATATAACCTTAGGAGAAGTAAACAAGTGAGTATGCCCAGGTGTTAAACATACCGATTTAAGAATAGTTTTATTCCTAGGTAAAGCAGGTGATTAGTGCAATACATTTTCAACCATTCGTTATTCTTTTGAACATTTTCCCCGACACCTGCAGCTGGTTTTTAATTATATATTAGTTTTGCTTCAGAGCATCAATTTGGAATAATTTGTCAGTACATTTAGTTATTACGTTATACCTTGACGTTCTATATAACTATGTTATCTATTTTTATATTTGGATACCAGGGTTTATTTGATTGATCATTGCAGCTTTTTCAATTATTTACTTTCTTTTCTTTTCCCCTCTCTTGCTCCCTTTTCTTCTCTATTCAAGTTTATGTTTCCTTTTTCCTTGTAATTATTTACTTGTAATATGATATACCCGAATTATTTGTAATGTTCTTTGTATTAATGA